TTTAGCTCAGATTCCTGTCCCATTCTACACTACCCAAAAAAGGAGATCAATTCATAGCTAAAATAGTGTTAGACTAACAGTACCACTTCACGCAGTGCAGAACTGCCAGCCACATCTAACTAGCCATCACAATATACTTGCCAGCTGCAGTTTGCTCTACAGTCTTGAAAAAAACATGCTATTCATGAAATACCAACTCCCAATGCTAAATTATGCTACCGCAGGTTTTTAGACAAGCATTTCTAGGATAGAAATAGATTATTCCCACATAACCTATAGAAACCCCTTCTCACACTCCCCCGTCCAAAAAAATCCCAAACAAAAAACCTACCATAAATTGATTACTACATTTCAACATTATAGTAAAGATATGACACAAAAAAACAGATGACTGTGTCCCATCCAATGTGCCATTTTTAATGTTTTGCTTGGGTTTTTTTCTCATGCTAACTACTGCATTTTCTAGATTAAATATTCAAACGTACAGGAGATGCATCTATACGGCTTTTGCTATCTATTTTGGGGATTCTGGAGCAGAAGCTGCCTAAATAGTCATCAAACTGATCTTGAAAGATATGTACTTTTAGAATCTCAACCAAAGGTCAGTGTTTTTCTCACTACAGCCCACTACATGGTTCACACTGGCTGAGACTTACCTTCTGCCTTACGGATCTATTTGGGGGTTGTTGTCACCGAACAACAGTAGGCAGCTAGAGCTGGGATACAGCCTGCCTTCTAGTGATGTACAAAACAGGAAAAAATTCAAGAGGAAAATAAAGATTGAAATGTGAAAGGCCAGAAGAATGGGAAAGGGCATGAAACATAGAAAAAGTGTGCTGTTTATTGGCTTTAGAGAACAGGAAGAACTCTGATATTATACCTGTATTCAAGTAGTTACATGAATTTGCCAGACAGAAGACCTGGGAAAAGGTGACAGCCACAGAAGTACAGGACAGGAAACATACACTCATTTAGACAATCCTTCATTAATTTATTTTCATTGGATCATCTCTGACATTGCTTGGTTAGATCCTCTCTTGTAGGGTACAGTTTCATCCACCAGAATTCAGGCAGAGCTTGACAGACTTTCGAGAACACATTCCTGTTTCAGTATTTTCAAAGTAGTTCAAAATTAGTTTACTTTAGCTTAATTAGTTTACTTTTTCTCCCCCTGCAGCTCTTCAGTCATGACTTCCAAGCTCTGCAGTCACTTTAAATAGAGCTGACATTCAATCCCTCTTCCTCAGGTCTCCATTAGACCTCACACAGGAGATTACTGTTTGCTTGTCAGTGACTAGAAGTTTATAACCATTTAAACAAACTCATTTTTATTTAACATTTCCTTTATTTTTTATCTTAAGCCTTTCTTCAGCTGTAACACTGCTGAGTTGTTCATATGGATTTAGACGATGCTTCCCCTCCTCTGTTACTGCAAAATCAACTACAGTAAGAATTTTGCTTATGGAAGAGGAATTCATGAACAAATCTACCTTTACATCCTTTGTCATAGGGCAAAAAACCACTTCTGGTACAGGCCAATTCTTAATGGCTACCAGTGCCCCAAATCTGTCTTGCATGCATGGGGCCCAAGTGGCTTCTACACAGTATCTGTTGCCGATACACCATACATTTCAGAATAAATTGCCCTTATGGTAGCTCACATCTACAGCCCCTGATAAATGGCCATAGAACAGAGAATCCTTCCTGCATACAGAACCATGCTAACAAGTAGCGGTTAGCTCAACAGCCCCTCAGTACATCACGTTGTATGGTTATCAAGAAGAGTATTATATAGATCACCTTCTTCACTAGTAACAAGACAAAAAAAAATAAAAATTAAATACTACTTGTTCACAACACAGCTTACAGAATTTACTATCAAAAGATAACATTAAATTTAAAATACTTGTGAAAACTCAGAAGTTGACATGAATAGCAGGAATACAGTGTACAAAACAAGATTTTTTCTTTTTAAAACAAAGTCATTTCAGATCAGAAAGCTAAAATACAAAAGTAAAAAAAAAAAAAAAACCACCAAAACCAACAAACCCACAAGGTATCCCTGAGATGCTTATCATGTGCTCACCAGCTCTACAATGCTTATATGTTTTTGATCATAAGCATTATCCAAGTGAAATCTCATGAAGAGCCCTAACCATTTCAGATAACAGTAAAGCCTCATTCTAACAATTTGTGAGTGTAAGTATTATTTTATTATATGCAATTTGTCCTATGGGAAGGGTGGCAAATTCAAGCAATGATGAGCATTCATTTAAAGTCAGATGAAATGTGGCAGCTATTTGTTTAAAAGCTTTGTCGATGGGTAAATTACTCCAATCTACTGAATTAGAATGGTAAATGTAGACAGTGCTCAGAGGCTTTCCATGTCTCCTGACAATGCAATACAAAATTTCCACATAATTTGGATGCCAAAAATTCAACATGCCACCTTTCTCTTTGCTAATCATTCTGTCAAGTTATTTATTCCTTCCCTGTGAAAATTGTCAATGTTATCTTGCAAATCTCTACAAAGGTAAAAGAAATTGTTCCAGATGACACGGATTACCTGGAACATACTACCAAGAAAGCAGACATTAAAATGACAGTTCTCTGCTATTTAGACATTTTGCACTAAAAGAGCTGAAAACAAGTGGATTTCATTACAGACTTTGTTTCTTGAAGCCAATAGACTTACGAAGGAAAACACAGTAATGCCCCACACATGTCATTTCCTCACATTTGGAAATAAGCTGATTAAATGTACTCAACAGATAATGCCAAATTTGTCAGAGCTTAGTCTCCTAGCAACAGGTATGGTACAGTATTAGTTTATAGATTAATGGCAGGCACTAATAGATTAATGGCTTGAAGCTATGTACTATCTTAAAATCTAGCTTAACAGTTCAGAAATCAAATATTCTAGCTCTTTGATAAAATACTGTTCAAGAGCAAAACAAACTGTGTAGGAGACAAAAACACATAAAGGCCTTCAGGCACCTGGAGATGTGGCTGTTGGACTTGATATTCATTGTAGGTCCCTTCCAATCAAAATACTCTATTCATCCACATCCCTTCTTGTCTCTGACACTGGTTAACATACAGTTACTTCATACAAGAAAATGCTTAGTACTTTATTGCAATGATCACATACATGGAAGTGACCAGTAAAAATGCTAAGAGCACCGAACAGGAAAGCCAAGTCAGAAACAAATAGTAATGTATATTGTAATAGCAACTTGATTTGTGTAATAAGCTTCCGGAAGTGCTGGAAAGATTTCACTTTTGTATTTAAATAAGGTGATTTTCATTTCATTGCTCACAGCAATTTGATATTTACCCTTCACCAAACTTGGCCCTTAGCATACTGCTTTTCCCAACAGTGAGTAAAAAGCTATGACAAATGGATGGTCTGTTTCCTAACAATTTTCTCTGTTCCATCAAGCACAACGATTAATTTCTAATCCATCTGGGAGAGACCAAATTGGAAAATAGAATATTGATTTGCATTTGTATCCATTTAATAGAGAGACATAGCACAATCCATGTGTTTAAGCATGAGACTGTCAGACACATAAAGATCATCCCCATTTCTAAAGCAGCATTCTTGTCATAGCAAGGTATTTCACAATTCTAATGCAAATAAGTAACTTTTAACATCATTGGTGTAAGCCACATAGATTACAGATCTGCTCTTTTCTAGTACTGCAGCTTAGAAACATCTAGCTCTGTAAGCAGAAGAAAGCTTAGATGTATGTGTCAAATCTTACAAGCATCAGTTCTGTAAGCTCCCTTAATGCAAACATTAGTGCAAGACACCCAGGGAAAACAAAGAAAATTTAAAAATTGAATACAATTCACAAAAGCTCAGCAGACTCTTACTTCATCAGCTAGAATCTCTCAAGTTTCTGCCCTCATTAATGATGTGTTTAATTTCAGGACCAGTGCCTTGGCATGTGAAAGGTATGTCTACTTCTTCTCCACTGACTAAAGCAATACAATGCTCCACATGAAGAAATGTGCCCAGCCAACTTCCAGATTCCAGCCCAGTCCAGGCATCCTCAATTTTCTTTGGCCTGCAGCACAGACTTTCCTGATAAACACTTGACCTTGCCTCTACTGTGCTACAAAATCTATCAGGGTAGATTTCGATTAGATATTGGGAAAAGATTCTTCACTATGAGGGTGCTGAGGCCCTGGCACAGGTTGCCCAGAGAAGCTGTGGCTGCCCCATCCCTAGCAGTGTTCAAGGCCAGGTTGGAGAGCAACCTGCTCTAGTGGAAGGTGTCCCTGCCCATGGCAGCAGGTTGGAACAGATGAGCTTTAAGGTCCCTTCCAACCCAAAACATTCTGTGATTCTGTGATTGAAACTGTTGTAAGAGACAATAAAGCTTGAGTGATTCTGTTAAGACAATGGAAATGACATTCACATACCATTCAACTGCAAGTAATAACCTTTGGTTCATGTTGAAGAAAGAGTCAAGTTTAATTTACTCCAAATATTTGAGTGAAATTTAACAAAATTTATGGCTACCATTTCACAGAAATAACCTAACAAAAACAGAAAGAAGAGCCATTTATAGGATTCAGAAGCTGTCTCAACACCAGACGACAGGTAACTTCCGATTCAAATGAAGCTATATCATGTTTCAGTATAGCTCCAACTAATCCAATATTGGGACTTTTCTTACTTGCCCTCATGCATACCCCTTCCTCCTTAAAGTTCATGTTGAATATGTTAATGCACTAATACACAGTGAATTCATTCACAAGCATAAAACTACATACAGCATAAAACTGTGACATGCACTGTTAACTGTAGCAAACTGTGATTTCTAAAACATCTAAAACTAACCGTTGTATTGAAAAAGTTGTATTTAAGGAAGAAAATCTTACCCAGGAAGGACTGTAAGCTTCATAAAAGGTAACAATTCACAGCATTATAAATACCAATAATTGTAGTTAAAAAATTATCTTCTATTCAAGAAAGTCAGACTTCCTACCTTCACTACAGGGTGTCCTCCAGTAGACGCTTTTACTGCTCCTCTGCTTCCTTCTGTTTCATAGTGAGCTCTGTGATGAGTCTTAGGCTGGACTTCAATTTTCAGTTCACACTGCCCATAATGACTTGGTAAAGGCCAGTCAAGAGGTGGCAATGAAGATGTGCTGCAATCAAGATGAGCACACTATGATGAAATGACCTATCCTGTCTATCAACAGTACAAATAAAGTAACTTCACTGTAAAATACAGGCAATGATGTCACCTTCCTAACAAATGATGACCAGATACGAATATCTATTAGCCTAAAACTGTTACTTGAAAATTCAAAAATTTTGCTGGTGCACTGAAATCTTCAATTAAGTATTTCATTTGGGGATGAAAGAGTTGAATTTCTTCCTTCCAATAACCAATTAAAAGAATGGTACTGTATGACGTTACAGCCCCACATTACCAGTGCTATTCTATAATGGCTTTATATTAATTTTTTTATCCCTATATATCAGCAAGCAAGTTCAAATGTTATTTAGAGAAAATAGTCTAAAATCAATCTACAAGCCATGGAGTTTTAATTCTCTGCATTATAATCTTCCAGCTTGTTGGGTTTTGTTTGTCTAAAATTGGTAAGCACTGCACTTTGTTAACCATCATTAAAATGAACCCTATATGATGATTAAAAATTTTAAAGATAGTAGTCCTAGCTAAGCATAAAGACTTACTGCAGCAGACAACAAAGCCCCTATAGTACGTGGTTAGCTTACCCATAGATTCTGTATACCCTTACACACAGCAGCAGAGTCATTCCAGGGAAGACAGAGAACAAAATGCAGTAATGGAAGAATCTCGGAGGGAAATAAGCCACATTGTATCACCAGTGTTTTCATACCTACCCTTTTACCTGAATAGAGTTATAGACTTACGATTCTAATAAGATGAACAGTCAGACTCAAGTCAGTAACTACCAGGTAGAGCAAATGAATTTATGAACATTTAAAAGTGAATGTTTATAGCAGCACGTACCAAAAAAGAACATCTACAGTAATAATAAGCTTTTACTAAAATAGTTTTGTACTACCTTACTTTGAGCAATGGGGAAAGAAATGAGGTTTTAAAGAGATGGACAAATATAGTCATTTGAGAAAGCTCTAATCCATTTCTTTCCACTTCAAAGGAAGTCAGGAAAACACCCACCACCAATCCCTGTAAATTTCCACAAATATGAATAGCCAGAGGTCCAAGAGGAGACCTGTACCTTCTGGGGAATTTAACCAAGACCTATAAAACATATCTACAGTCAAGAAAAAAGATAATTTTTGGACTGAATAAAAAAGAAAAGGAAGCTCTGCCTTTAGCAAGTATCTGGATAGACTTGGGCTCAGCCTGCGATACATGTATCTACGTAGGAGTCATCTTTTTTTCTACAAAAATCAGTCACTGAGCATGGGAAGGAGAGAGAAGAGCAGCACCACTTGCTGGCCTCCTCCTACAGATCAACCTCCAAGCCTGTTGTTCTGCTTAATGGAGAACCTCTTCTGCGTACTTCAGGAGAGAGCTAACATCCTATTGGCTATCAACTAGACCTTGCCATTCACTTTTATAGCTACTGAAGGAGAACGACTCAAAGACTCTTCAGTCTAAAAAGGAACCAAAATGTCAGGATTAGAAGATACTAAAAAGAGTTTAAAAAAGAAATGTAGCATGCACGAAATTCTTCCTTAGTATTCCTGGAAACCCCTCCATATAACCAAATATTCTATGTCAAAATAGTTGGTATACACAGTGAACACAGAAAGGTCTGTAAGAGAACTTGGTATAACATGCACACCACAGACTATGTACAGATTACTGGGAGGTATTACTGAAAGTTTATTATTAATGTCAGTCAAGTAAAAAAGTATTTGTTGCTTGTAACCAGTCTCCATACAGCCTCTCAAAGAGGTTTACCTCTTCTGCAATTAGCTAATAAAAACGTAGCACAAGCTGTATCAGACTTCCATTATCTCCTGAAAAAATATTTGGAATACTAGAACAAACACACAGACAGGAAAATAACTGAGTCTCAAGATTTTGTTATTCTTTGAAAACAAATAGAAAACATCAGCATGAGAGAGAAAGCAAGCACACAGCATCACAAAACATCACAAAACCAGAAAGATTTCAAAACACAATTCTCCAAATAAATTACATAGCCTTTGGGGCTGTGCTGCATCAAACTGATATTTTCTAGATGTAGTTGCTTCCCTTTGGAGTTTGATGTTGGATACCCAAACTGTTGTTTCTCTCTGAATATTTTTGTTGCTTTCTTCATCACCCTCAACTTCTCAGCAGCCATGGAGTACTAAAAAGTTTTAGGGTACACTGACATGCACCCTTCTGCCCTGTGAGGATTTCAGTTTGATCTATTTCTGCTTTCACATCACCCTTCCACTTCTTCTGTAACAAATGCTGTAGAGATACACATTGAACTGGATCAGTGATCTAACATTTTTCATTTTGAAAGGTAAATGTTTGAATTCTATTAATTTATCAGAGACCCAGTTATCTTCTTCAAACAGAACCAGTGGGAGGGGGTGGAAACTTCCTAGCTGGCACTGTCACCTTCTGAAAGTCCCATGAACCTGCAAGCTTGGACACTAAATTAAAAAAAATAGCAGAATAAAGTCTACAAAACTCTTGGGTTTTTTAATTCTATGTAGAAATCAGTATCAAACCTGAAAAATCATGTCAGTGTTTAGGGGGCAGAGGTAACAAGTTTGCATATATTTTGAGCACTTTTCAGTACGAAGCAAGACTATTTTTGTACCAGATGCTGAATCTGGGTAAATAAGTCTGAAGCTGCTAGCTTTACTGCATTTATGGGTCTGTTCTCAAGAAAATACTGCTCAGTCTGCTCTATTAGGTGAGGATCAGCAGTAAAACTGCCATATGTTTAACTCACCACAGTTATTTTATTGGTTGTAAACTGTGCATTGAACTCCAATGAGCTCTGATATTTCAGAACTTAGCTAAGTTCAAAATTTAGTGCTCCATTACTCTTAAAATACCTGGAACATGTTTAAGAATAAGCAGCTCAGCTGCTTCAGAATGCACAAGAATTTGACGTTGCAGAAAGGCTGAAGGTTTCTGTCTCCCCTTCCTTACACAGAGCACAGCAGCATTATTGACAAAGCCATTTAACTTTGCATTCAGAAACCAGAATCCAGAGCAGGACCTGACTGTGGGGATTTTTTTCAAAAGATCAAAAGATTAAAAGTAATAACACCTGTTACTTAAACCCAAATTACTGTTACAATAGCTTGTGACTTAGTCTTTTACAGAATTTTCTCTGATTTTTTGTTTTCTTTAAATGAGTAAAAACCTTGTTAATAAATCACTAACCTACTAGTAAAATCATGTCAGGAAAAAGAAATAATGAGTGACAGTCATTCCAAAACTTCAATTAAATGAAATTTTAGCATGTTGTTGAAACAGCACCAATCTATAAACGTGCAAGTATTTTAAGTTTTATAATGTGATTAACGCAAGCCTCCAAAAGCTCATACTCCTATCACATCAACATTAAAGGGTTTAGAGAGCAGCAGCTATTAAAGGGAACTTAGAGAAGGAACCCTTTACCAGAAGCCACTGCATTTAAAATTATCACTTCAATGATAATTTTATCAGTATTAATTTAACAGATACCTTCTTCCTCTGCAACCATTATCTCTAAAACAGCATAAGGACAGCCAAATGTGTGGGTTTCAGAATTCAGACCTGTAGAAGTCAAGGCCCAGCTCATGGGCTGATGATGCTTCTCTCAAACCCCAGAAACAAGATTGCTTGTTTGCATTTGATCATGGCCCCACAGCAGTATATGTGGGACAGAAGGAAAATCAAAGCCTATGAGAGCCAATAAAAATAACTCAGTTTCAAACTTAAAATACTTACCTTTCATTTGTAGCACTCTTCCTGAGTAATTCATGGGACAAATAGCTGGGGCTCTGTGCAGACAAAATGCTGATGCCTCAGCTGAAGCACATGTGCAATTAGCTCATTTAGTCTAATGCTTTCCTAGACTCCTTGCTTAGAAAGCTTTTAAACACAGGTAGAACTGATATAAGAATTCATTTTAGACACTCTGTGGCCACTGAACATGTTCCTGCCTCTCTGTAGTCACTAACACTAGCTCTTTTTTCTTTTGCTGGTAGAGATGCACTTCTACAGTGATTCTTCTATTATTTCTTAGTTTCAACTAAAGCAACATTTTCCACTTACAGCTCCTCCCAGGACATCAAAAGGGGAAAAGCTCACTGACATGCCACATCTTTTCCTCATCCCAATTTTTTGTAAAGATTAACAGCATATTCTGTGACAAGTCAATGCTGCAACACAGCAAACCCCCAAGAATCTCAAACCGTAACTATGATCCAATACTATTCAAGAATGCCTGTAGAGCCAAAATACTGCTGTGGATGCTCTTTGCTATCTAGAACAAAGCAACTTTTTCCCTCGTGGTTTAATTTTGGAGTTTAGAATTTTGGGGTCATTCCAGTTGTCATAGTGGCTTATTAATAGACTTTTTAAACACTGTTTACATTCAAAACATCACTGTTCTGCTTCAAGCAGACCCACAGTTAACTGTGCTTTCCAAGTATTGATACAGTATACTGCCAAGTAAAAATCTATATTCTATCATTTCAGAACAAAGCAGAGAGCCAAATCGCATGTACAGCTCAAAGGTCCCATATTAAACACTGCCTGAATTTCTCTAGATTCATTAATGGAGTGTAAACATTACAGCAGTAGCCTAGCTTATTAAAAATCTAAAAACTTCAAAGTTATCTTGTTGTCTCACTTAAGTGGTTCTTTATCTCCAAAGTCAGCGATTTGCAAATATTTTCCCTTTAAACTTTTGCTAAAGTAGCATAGCTGGTATTATTTCTATTAATCAAAATAAGTACTTAGCAGACTAAGCTTGCTTACAGTCCACTCACATTGAAAGATTTAGTCTTCATAAAATTAAGACCAAAATCCCGTTATATTAAAAACAGAACCTAATTCTGTTCCTCTCTATTCCCTGACTTCCAAGAGGATTCAGAGAAGAGAAGAAACTTTTCCAAGTATTTGACCATCTATCACTGTATCTAAACTCCTTTTTTTCCTCTGTCAGAGTAAGCAACATTGCCA